CGCCGCACGCTCGGGCCTCCAGGGCCGTGCCCGTGGTTGGCCTTGAGCGCCGCGAGCTCCACCGCGGCGAGAACGCGCTGCACGGCCATGAGCGCGATCAGCTGCAGCTCGCGCTCCTGGCGCAGCGCCAGCGGAGGCAGCCGGGCCTCGGCTGCCACCCCGGCGAGGCGGTCGGCCGCGGCGTTGCCGGAACGGTCCTCTGGCGACACACCTCGTGCCTGGGCCTCCGCGGCGTCAAGGTGCCCTTTAATCCATCGCGCGGCTAGCGCGTCGCTGCGGCAGTGAGGAACGATCAACTCCCACAGGTCTGCGTGGGCCCAATCCTCGGTGGACGCCCCGGCCTTGATCGCCGCGACGCCGTTGCTGACGAAGCGAGAATCGGTCACTATCTCGACGGCGCCGCCTGCCAGGCTGACGGCATGCACCGCTGCCGTGAGCTCGGCGCGCTGCGCGGTCTGCGTGCCGTCGACAGGCCCGCGGTGCTCCTGACGGCCAGCGCCCTGGTCCAGCACCACCCCCCACCCTGCCCTAGCGAGGAGGGGGTCGGTGGGGTGCACGCAGCCACCGTCCGTCCAAGCGCGCGCCCGGGGTGGCTCAGCAGCGCGGGCCTGCAGGGCTGGGCGCGGCAGCGGCCAGTGCGCCTGGTCCGCCAGCGCAGCCAACTGCGGGTGCTGGGGCAACACCCCCGTGAGCGACGTCTGGGCCGGAAGCCGCGCGCGCGCCTCGGCGCGGGTAAAGCCCTCGGGGACCAGCGCGGCGGCGCGCGCGGGTTCCCAGCAGGGACAAGCCCAGAAGCGGTGTTCGAAGTCGTCGCACGCCGCGCCGCAGTGCGGGCATGCCGCAGGGCGCCCCCATTTCGCCGCCACCGCCTCCGTGACGACGTTTCCAGTGAGCACGGCGCGGAGGGCCCCCGCGGCGTCGGCCGCCAGCTCCCCGCCTTCGAGGAGCCGCCTGGTTGCCCACCTGTCGATTCCAGTGTCTAGGTGTCGAAAGCCGGCGCGCCGCCCTGCCACCTCACGGACGTCGCGGGCTGCCCAAGCACGGAGGAGAACCGCGCGCGTGTCGGGCAGGGCGCGGTCGGCCAGACGCCAGCCGCCAGGCGAGGTGGCCACACCAGTCCAGCACTCGACATCGGCCCCCAACTGCAACTCCGCCAAGCTCTGGATCGCCGCGTCCACCGGGCCAAAGCCGCGGCCGTGCCCCGCGGCCATGGCGCCAGCGGCTCGCCTCCAGAGCTCCGCTGGGAATCGGCGCTTCCGCATGGCTTTGACGACCTGCCACAGCGGCGCGATGATCGTCACCGCCGCCGGGTCCAGCCGCCAGGTCGGCGCCAAGACGCCGAACACGATCTCCGCGGCTGCCCGGAAACCGCCCCGGCAGACGGCGCGCCGCGCGGCGGCGCGAAGCCCGGCCAACTCGCGCGCCGGGGGGCGTCCGCAGGCAGCGCCGTAAAGGCCCGCAGCAGTGCCCGCGGCGGCGCCCACCACGCAGCGCCGGCGAAAACTGACGGGCAACCGGCCGAGTCTGGCAAATCGGCCCTGCGCGACGACCAGCCGGCCGGCGGAGACGGCGCAGCGGCGCGCCCTGCCGGCAGTCGCGATGACCCCAAGGTCCTTGAAATCCGCGCGCGCCTGGATGCCTGGGGACTTCTCCTGCAGCCACTGTCGCAACGCCTGGCGGCTTGCGAATTGGCGGCTTTTCGTCCGGTTGAGCCTCCACCCCATTGCCGTCTCGAAGGCGTTTGTCGTCCGCAGCGCCTGCTCGAGCACCTCCGCCGCCTCGTCAGCGCGGTCGGCGGCCACGCGGGCCCGCAGGGTGAAGTCGTCGACATACACCCGCAAGCGAAGCAGGTCGCCCAACCTCGCGGCACGGCGAGCCCAAGGCCGGGTCAGCACACCCAGCGCGAACACGGCGAGCGGACAACCTGGCAACAGGCCGCGCGAAGGCGCCCAGGGCTCCCCGATGGCGCTGTCGACGCGCGCCCGGCGGCGGGCTCCGTGGGCGCGCAGGGCTGGGCGGGCGATCGAGCCACGGCGGGGCCCCCGCCCGCGCCAGCAGAACCGGGGGCGCCCCCAAGTCCACCTGGTCGTGCGCTTTGCTCCAGTCGAGGGCTGCGCCGACGACCTCCTCGGACAGGGCATCGGCGGCCTCGAGCTCCAAGGCTAGCTCCCACGCCTGCTCCTCTGCGCCGCGCCGCCAGGAATCCCCCTTCCCAAGAGCAGCGCCACTGCGCGAAGAGACGGGCACGCCCGGCCGCCCAAAGCCGATAAATAATCGGGAGGAGCCAGATCAGCCTGCGCTCCAGCGGGCCTTGGCCGCCACCAGGCTTCGGGAGCAGCAGGCCCTCCGCTTCGGCGAGCTCGCGCGGCCGCTCGCCGCGGGCCTCCACCTCCTCGAACAGGTCGGCGATCCACCCTTGCAGCTCGGCAGGCAGCAGCCGGAGCTCGCCGACAGCCCAAGCGTCGAGCCCTGGCTTCTTCCGCTTTGGCATTCGCCGCAGCAGCCAGCCGACCATCCCTGCTGTCCAGGGGGTCCGGTCCGGGAATGGCGGGAGGCCATCGAGCTCCTGCAGCCACTCCTCCGCGACTGGAGGGGCGGGCGGAGCCTGCCAGATCGCCTTCCACGGCCCCTCGTAGTGCCGCAGGCGCGCCGCAGGGCCGCCCTGCAAGGCGAGCAACCACGAGCGGCTGCCAGGAGCTTCCCCGCCAGACCCACCAGCAGGCACGAGCTCAGCGTCTACGTTCTACGTTGCCGCCGCCCGCCGCGGATCCAGCGATACAGCCGCCCCTGGCGGTTCTTGAGCGAATCCGCCACCCAGCGGTGCATTCGGCCTGCCGGCGCGATCGCGCCGCCGCGCGCGCCAGCTGCCAGGCCGCCTCGGCGCGCGCCACCATCGCCTCAGAGACCAGGGCGTCCAGCTGCAACGCCGCCATCGCCCGGGCCCAATCCGGGCAAGCGGCATCAGCCGAACGGAGCGCCTGAATGGTTGCCGCCGAAGCCTGCCGGGCGGAAACAGTAGTGCGCCCCAGCGTCATCCGAAGGTTGCGGAGACGCCGGAGTCGCAGCAGCGCCGCGTCCGCAGCAGCTTCGGCGGCCTCCCCTCCCCCGCCCGAGGAGGGAGGGCGCTCGGCGCGCATGGCCGAGGCTGCATGGGGGCGCGCTGGAGCGACCGCCAGGCCCACGCGCCACGCGAGCCAGAGACGCATCGCCCCGTCGAGCTGTTGCCAAGCCTCGCCCAGGTTGTGCTCCGCAAGTGCCCGCCGGAAATCCCGCTCGAAGCGCCCCAGGACTGCGGCCGTGGCGTCCCGGGCGGTTGCCGGTGACCAGCCGTCACCAGCCGGCCCGTCCAACGCCGGCACTGGTTGGCGAAGTCTCGCAAGTGCTGGAGCCTGCACGCGCAGCTCGACGAGCAGGGCCGCGTGCATCGCCAGCCTGAGGTCCCACGCGCAGGCACGCGCACACCGCACACCACTCACGCACACGCGCACGCGCACGCACACGCACACGCACCCGCACGCGCACGCGCACGCGCACACGCACACGCACACGCACACGCGCACGCGCACGCGCATGCCCCCCCCCCCCACCCACCCGTCCACACACACACACACATACACACACACACACGCACGCACGCACGCACGCACGCACGCACACACACACACACACACACACACACGCACACACACACACACACACACACACGCACGCACGCACGCACGCACGCACGCACGCACGCACGCACGCACGCACACACTTGCACGCTTGCACGCTTGCACGCACGCACGCACGCACGCACGCACGCACGCTTGCACGCACGCACGCACGCACGCACGCACGCACGCACGCACGCACGCACACACACACACACACACACACACACACACACACGCACACACACACACACACACACACACGCGCGCGCACACAACACACACACACACACACTCACTCCCCCCCCCCCCACACACACATGTTGGCGTTCGCCTGCTAATCGCAGCGCAGCTCCCTGTCCAAGCGTTATCGTTACCTGGTGCCTAAAACCCCTCCCCCCGGGTAACGGCTGTTTTAGGGAGCGTTTGGGATGGTAAGGTCAGGGGAGGAAAAGGTACCCATACCGTTGCTCGTCTTGGAGAGTTCTACTCGTCGCCACGTCTGGGCTCTTCTTCGAAAGTGTGGCCAGAAGATGCCCCAGGAGAGGTCCCGGGAGCAGCGGTATCGGTACCTCCTTGTCTTCCCAGAAGGGCACTGAACCGCGCCTTGCGGGAGGGGAAGGGGCACTTGTTGGCGGTGCGCGCAAAGGGGGTGGCGCCGCGCGAGGGGAAGGGGCACTCGGGCGCTCGGGAGGAGTTGGCGAGGACGGTCTTGCGGCAGGGTCGCCTGCCAACTCCCTTGAGTCGAGCTGGGCGAGCCCGCGCCGTCTCCCGCGCACCGCCCGTCCCTCGTTTCCAATGAGAGTTGCGCCGAGATAGAGATGCTGAGGGGAGACAGTCGTGAGCGGGGCTCGTTGCCAGAGCCCGATCAGCCACAACAGCTCGGGGCTCAAGCAACGGGGTCGGCGCTAACGGGGTCAACCAATCCCTCTGGCTGACCTGGGCTTGGGAGCCACATGGTGCCGCTTCCCCCTTTCGGCCCTCCGCTGACCCGGGTTTGGGAGGTACTAAACAACCTGCCAGGTTTCCCGACAGGGCCCTGACCTACGCGTGTTTGTGCTCCCCCGGTCTGGCGTGTGTCCGAACAGGGTCAGCATGTGGCGGGTTCGCGCGAGACGTGATGCGTCATGGCCCGTGAGCCGGAGATGCCAGGGTGCCCGCGCGCCGCTGGCATCCGAGCGCGGCTCGCGCGTGTGGATGCTCGCGGGTGCATGCCGCATGCCCCTAATCAGGACGTGAACGACATGAAGCAAAACGGTGGATGGAAGGGGGCCCGGGCGCAAGGTGGACGGACAGACGGAAGGGCGGGGCAGGAGGTGGTCCGCCGTTCACCGCAGCCGCTCGGCTCGGGGACAGTCAGCGGGGGTCTGCGACCACGTGCGAACCCTACCCTCCCAGACCTGGTAACCCCCCTGATAAAATTCATGACGGCGCTATTTCACCGTATTCGGCCTTTGTGGTCCCTCCCTCGCCTGGCCCCGGCACCGTCAAAAACCTACTCAGGATGAAACGCTGGCCCCTGGGAAAGGGACGGGGATTCTGGGCTTGCGGGTGTGAGCGGCGCTGGGGTATCGGACCTTCCTGTAGGGGTTCACTTGGCTGCAGACGTGCTTCGAATTCCGAGCCCCCGATAGCGCTTCTGAAATCGGACCTGCATCGTTGCGTGATATCCGGCCCTGCACCAAACCTGTCGCCGCGACGATCTTGGTGGCCGCACGTCGGGGCAACGTTTTCGTCGAAGAATGGTATGCCCCTTCCTGCCCCCCCCCCCGCTCTGCGATGTATAGTGCGGGTCAGAAGTCGCAAAAATGCGACAGAGAGTTGGCAGTCTGTGTCTGACATGGGCAGTCATGTTTTCCAAACCCTAGTGTGTTGGGTTTGCGTTTTGACAACAGCACTGTGGTATCCACTCCATATCCTTCTCCTCCCCCCTCTTCCTGCCTCCTCCTGCGCTGCTCCCTGGGTTGCTGCGAACTGCACACCTGTCACCATTTTCGGGGGCTCCTGGGAGGTCGAGCGGAATGGAGTTTCACGCGGACCCAGGCGGGACATCGCGTCTCCATGGGTGGTTTCGAACTGCGCAACCGTCGCCCATTTCGTGGGCTCCCGGGAGGGCCAACAGAACGGAGTTACACGCGGACCAAGACGGGACCTCGCGGCTTCCTGGGGGGCGTGCGAACTGCACATTTGTCGCCACATTCGTGGGCTCATGGGCAGTACTGCTGAGTGGAGTCACTCGCGGCTCCCTGGGGGGGCTGCGAACTGCGCAACTGTCACCACTAGTGTCAGCTCCTGGGAGGTCAGCGGGTCGGAGTTACACTTGGGCCCAGACGGGACCTCGTGGCTCCCTTGGGGGCTGCGAATTGCGCAGTTGTCTCCGCTTGTGTGGGCTCCTGGGAGGTCCAGCGGGTCGGAGTGACACGCGGACCCAGACGGGACCTCGTGGGTCTTTGGGAGGCTGCGAATTGCGCAATTGTCGCCACTCACGTGGGGTCCTGGGAGGTCCAGCGGAATGGAGTTACACGCGGACCCAGACGGGACCTCGCGGCTCCCTGGGTGGCTGCGAATTGAGCAATTCTCGCCACTTTCGTGGGCTCCCGGGAGGTCCAGTGGAATGGAATCTCCCTCGGACCCAGACGGGAACTCGCGGCTCCCTGTCGGGGGCGGATTGTGCAGTTGTAATGTCGCCATTTTCGTTGGCTCTTGGGAGATCCAGCGGAGTGGAGTTGCACGCGGATCCAGACGAGACCTCGCGGTTGTTCCGGGGGTTGCAAACTGCGTCACGTTCCGTTGTCTCCTGGGCGGTCCAGAGAAGAGTTACACGCGGACGCGGACGAGATTTCGCGGCTCCCTGGGGGGCTGCGAACTGCGCAATTCTCACCATGTTCGTGGGTTCATGGGAGATCCCGCGGAGTGGACTTACACACAGGCCCAGACGAGACTTCGCGGCTCCCTGGGGGCTGCGGACTACTGTCGCCATTGTTGTTGGCTCTTGGGATGTCCAGCGGAGTGGAGCTACACGCGGACCCAGACGGAACCCAGCGGCTCCCCAGGGGGCTGCGAATTGCGCAAGTGTCACCTTTGTCGTGGGCTCCTGGAAGGTCCAGCGGAATGGAGTTGCATGCGGAATGTATTTCTGGGTGCACGCGAAGTGGAGTTACGCGCGGTGTGCAGTGTTTGTCGTTATTTTCGTCGCCGCGCTGTTCCGAATTCCCCTCTGGCTGATTCTGCGCAATCCGGTGTCTTCAATATTTACGTTTGCAATGAGCGGTCTTGGGTATAGCCGCCACGAGGAGGAGGAGGAGGAGGAGGAGGAGGAGGAGGAGGAGGAGGAGGAGGAGGAGGAGGAGGAGGGGGAGGAGGGGGAGGGGGGGGGGGGGAGGGGGAGGAGGAGAGGGGAGGAGAGGGGGGGGGGGGGGGAGGAGGACGGGGTCACTTTGCAGGGGCAGGTTGCCCCAGGGGGGGCACGGCCGCAGCCGAGCCCATGCTGGACCCGAGGTGCGCGTCCTCCTTCTCCCTGCCCTCCAAGACGGCCGTGGACGCCGTGCCGAGGGATGCCGCTCGGAAGCTGTTCGCCGCGCCCCAGACGGGCGCCGAGCCCTCCCGCCGGGGAGGGGGGCGGACAGAGCACCCCGCAGGATGCCACAGGAGACGCCGTTCGAGGAGGTGCGGACCCAGGAGGAGGAGGAGGAGGAGGAGGAGGAGGAGGAGGAGGAGGAGGAGGAGGGAGGAGGAGGAGGAGGAGGAGGAGGAGGGAGGAGGAGAGAGATGAAAGAGGAGGAGGAGGAGCAAAAATAAGGAGGAGAGTTAAGGAGGAGGAGGAGGAGGAGGAGGAGGAGGACAGGGAAGGGTAGGGAGGGAGAGAGGGAGGAGGAGGAGGAGGAGGAGGAGGAGGAGGAGGAGGAGGAGGAGGAGGAGGAGGAGGAGAGGAAAGGGGAGGGAGGACCAGAGTAAGCCCAAGATGCATCAGCGATGCTGCAACACACCCTCCCATCCCAAGTCCCCTCCTTTTCGGCCCCTCGTGGCCTTCCTGCTCACTCCGAGAAGCGCCCCCTGTAAGGACCAGCGCCCCGTGGGCCTGTAGGCCTGCCATCCAGGCGAGAGCTCCGCTTTTGAAAAGGAGTTGGTTTGTTTGTATCCTTACGGCTGGTGCCGTTGACCCTGGACGACGGCCCCCACGATGGACTGGACGAGGCAGTCGCGAAAGTCTGGATCAGACGCTCCCAAGAGTGCCCAGGGGGCTTCTCGAGTGCCCCCCAAGAGGTGCCCAAACACCCCCAACTAGTTTGGGGGGTGTATGGGGCACCTTTTGGGGGGAGTTGATTTCGTCATCCCCCCCGTGCCCATTTCTGACGCACAGCTATGCGACCGAAGCTGTGTTGGCTCGAGAAAAGACAGCGTTCCGCCTGCTGCGCGCGTGCGCCCTCCCCCGCGGCCGGCCGGGCCCTCTCTTATCTATATTGTCAGCCAAAGCTTTACGGACACGATTACATTCATATAGCCATGGTTCTTAGGGATACATCACCAGTACACAAGTTGAACCGGAGCAAGAGACTGCTACAGGAAGGAGATGAAGAAGAACAGTCGCGTATTAGTTGGGCCAAAAAAGAGCCCTCATCAACAAAGAATTCGCGAATCGCTTGGGCTGTTTCGATTTGGCTGGCGTGCTGACCCAGACATCCGGCTGCTCCAATTTTTTCGATGCGTGGCCTTGGAGGTCCAGACCACTTCCCCACGACCGCTGTTTCGCCCTGGCTCGTTTTTTTCCGCTCCCGAGGCCCGGCGAGCGCCCCCAGAGGCCGAAAATTGCTAAAATCCCGCCGCTCCACTTCTTTGCAGCGTCGGATCTCTGGGGAGGCAGGGGTGCACAGGGAGAAGGGGGGGGCGCCGACGACAACGACAACGACGACGACGGTAGTGACGGTAGTGACGGCGGCACGGGGCGGGTGCCACGCTCCACCCCGCGCCGAGCGCCCGCGCGCGGCGCGCGCACGGCCACTCACGCCCATCAGGCCGCCGCCGCCCCGCCACGCGGGCCGGTCCAGACCTCTGCGGCCGTCCCGCCACGCAGCCTCCACTCGTGGAGGCGTCCTCGGGGCCCCCCTTGCGCTTCCGCGCCGGGCCTGGCCGCCTGCTCACAGGCCGTCGGCCTTTCCCACTTCGGGCGATGCGCCCCTCCTCCTCGTCCTCGGCTCAGGGTCCTGACCCTGGCGCCTCTTCGATGCCTGCTCGGCCTCCCTCCTCTCTCCTGCTTCGTGAGCCTTTAGCGCCGCAGCAGCCTCTGCTTTGGCGCCCAGCTCCAGGAGCTCCTCCTGTGTGGCCCCACAGGCCTTGACCACCTCCGCGAGCGGGCGGAAATGCACCTCTTTGCCGTGCCGCGGCGCTCCTCCTTGATCCTCGGGCCGCAGCTTGGGAGGTGCCGCCTCGGCGGCCTCCCCTCCTGCCTCGAGCAGATCCTGCTCCGCGCCCTCGCCGAGCTCCTGCCCGTACCTGCACATCTCCTTGCTCGTGGAGGACAGCGGGTGCAGGCCTTTCGCCACCGTCCTGATCAGCTCCTGGGGGCCGCGAGCCCCCTTGCAGCTGCCAAACAGCAAGCAGCCCCTGCCTCTTCGCTAGCGTGGCGAGGCGGCCTCGCGCTCCGCTCGCCGCGCATCTGCGGCAGACCACGCCCTTCTCGCCCCCGGCAGCCACGTAGTCCACGAGGTGGTGCCCTCGCCACTCGACTGGGTCTCCTCCTGGACGTGCCTCGGCCTCCTCCTCGGGTCTCCTTGCCTCTCTGGGAGACCTCTCCTCCTGGCGTGCCCCATTTCCTTTTCAAGGAAGTCCAGCTCCTGCGGCTTCTCCCCGAAGTCCACCACCCTCTCCTGAGGAATGCCGTCCGCGTCCTGCTGGCCGTCCTGTAGCATCACCGCCGACTGGGCGACGCACCTCGCCACTGCCTTGGCGAGGTAGTGCGCTCCTCTGGGAGATCTTCCACTCTCCTCGCGCCGTGGCCAGAGCCTCGCACCCTTCTTCACGTAGGGCCCCGCCACCTAGCTGCCTTCCCTCATCCATCTTTCTGTCTCCGTCACGCATTCCGACTTTGAGCGGTGGGCTGTCACTTTGGTGACGTGCACGAGCTCGTGCCCTCCCAGCTCTGCCCACCGCATCCTTCACATGTGCCTTCTCGCCAATGCCTGGCTCCTGGAAGCGGCGCTCAGGATCGAGCCCGCGCAGTCGCTGAAGACCTCCAGCGGCGCCTGCGCGTGGCATGCCAGGAAGCGGAAGGCGAAGTCCTCGCCCTCCCGTGCCAGGTGCTGCGGCCCCCAGGCGGTCGGCACGGTGCCGCACGCCGCTCCTAGCACTTCGCCGCCCTCGCTGATCATCACCACCGCCCAGTCAGCCCTCCTAAGCATCTCCTCCTCGGGGTCCATGGCGGACCCGTCAACGAACACCCTGCTCGGGGGAGAGTCCTCTGGCGAACCTCTCGCCTGCCTCCTCTCCTTGCTTCCTCGCCCTGGGTGCCGCCTTCTGGACCATCATGGGGCAACGGCCCCTCCTCCTCGCCTGCTCCGCGTCGCACTCGACGCGCCTGTGCCACAGCGTGCGTGCCTCTCTTCATCCCGCCCCTCCTGCGCGTGTCCGTGGCCGTCAGTCCTCTGTCGAGCCCGCGCTTGTATCCACGTCGACCCTCCTGCATTGCACCTGAGCGCCCTCGTGTACCTCAGGCTCCACGTGTCCGTCTCCTCCTCCGCCTGCAGCTCCTCGATGTGAACCCAGTGCAGCGACCCTCCCCAGGCCACGACGACGACGACGACGACGACCACGGCGACCACGACGACCACGACGACGACGACGAGTCAAGCGAAACAGCCTCTCGCACAAGCCGGCAGGTGATCGTTTTCTTGTTCATTGTTTTGCCGATCGGCGCGGGCCCTCGTACCCCTTCCTCCCCCCCTCCCATCTGGAGTAGATCTTTGTTGTTTTTTGACACCTCTTTCGAGCAGGTGGAGTCTCCCCCATTGGACGCACGGTCGCAAACAGTCACATTAAGCAGAGGTCCAGAGCCAGACCCCCTCCTCCCCCCCTCCCCCTTCCGCCCAATGTCGAAAAGCCGAATAAGAAGACGCTCGCCAGGGTCGGCGGAATTTACAGAAAGGAACATTCATTGTGGCCGATGCTTTTGTACTTCTGGCATGGACCAACGCTTGAAGCAGTCGGCGCGCTTGTGACTGTCGCCTTTTGGCGACCACCGTGGCCACTCCCCCTCCTCTGCGTCCTAGCTGTCGCTTCCTTCGCGTTCGTGGCTGGTGCTCAGCATTTTGGAGTACCCTTTTCCCTCAGTGGGGAAGCTGACCATGTTCATCATAAGCGCATGGTTTGTTCTATGGGGAAGATCTACGCTCATACAGTTAGGACGGTTAAACCGGTTGTCCCGTGAGATCCCCGTTTCGAAAAGGATTGCCCCAATTTGTGTAGTGGTTGCACGAGTTGATTATTCTGGCCACGGGCCCCGAGGAAGTCTCAAGCGATAGCCCCATTCTGAAAAGGATCCGCCTTCCATGTGTGCAGCTGGTGCGCTGTTCAAACATGTGGTCGTTGGCCCTTCAGAAGTCTCTGGCAGAAGCATCCGTTCGAATTTGGAATTGTCCTCCATCCCTGTAGCCGCTGCCATCTTCAAAGACACATGTGCGTGGCGCTAAGGCGAGAGTCCCATTTTGGAAAGGCCCCTCTCATCCCTTCGAGCTGTTGCATGCTTTTGGGGCGACATTGAGCGGCGCTGATGCCAGGGCCTGAAGTTGAAAGCGATACGTGCCGCATCCTTGAAACTGCTTCACACTGCTGAGAGGAATGCGCGCGGCGCCGAAGCGAGAGCCCCATTTTGAAAACGACACCCCCTCCATTCTTGAGGCTGCCGCACGCTTTTCGGACAAATGTGTTCGGCGCTATTGCGAGAGCCCCATTTTGCTCTGTCCTAGAAAATGTTGGAAAATGTTAAAACCAATATGCATGGCGCCCAGACGACGGGAGCCGAATTGTGAAATTGACCCATCTCCACCCTTGAAGTTGATGCAAACGTTTCAGACGAGTGTGCACGAAGCTAAGTCGAGCGCCACAGTTTGAAAACTACCCCCCGTTCACGCGTGTATCTTTTCCATTTTTCAAGCTTCAGAATCATAAATTGCGACGAAGTCTCTGGCCAAACAGCGGGCCCGCCCTACCGATACGCCTGGGGGTTCGAGGAGGAGGTGGAGAAGGAGGAGAGGGAGGGGAAGGGGGAGGAGGAGGAGGAGGAGGAGGAGGAGGAGGAGGAGGCGGAGGAGAAGAAGGAGGGTGAGGACCACAATGGCGACGATGGCGACGACGACGAGGCGTCGAATGAGGCGGAGGGAATGGGGATGGAGGTGGAGGGGGAGATAGAGGAGAAGAGGGAGGAGGAGGAGGGGAAGGAGGAGGAGGGGGGGAGGCAAGCTAGGTGCGCTCGCGCAACATCTGAAATCATACCCCTCCCTCCCATCCCATACCATGGCGCAGGTACCCTCTCTATTCGCACATCCGAATGCCGAGCAAGGCACTGATCCCCAGAGGGTACACGATGGATGGTAGAGCA